CATCATCACCATCATCACTTCCATTACATCATCACTGTTACCATCACCTCCACCCATGGGGCCAATAACATCATCATCACCACCACCATCATCATCACCATCATCACCACCACCATCATCATCACCACTTCCATTACATCATCACTGTTACCATCACCTCCACCACCATCATCATCACCACCACCACCATCATCATCACCACTTCCATTACATCATCACTGTTTCCATCACCTCCACCCATGGGGCCAATAACATCATCATCATCACCACCACCATCATCATCACCACTTCCATTACATCATCACTGTTACCATCACCTCCATCCATGGGACCAATAACATCATCACCACCACCACCATCATCATCACCACCACCACCATCATCATCATCACTTCCATTACATCATCACTGTTACCATTACCTCCACCCATGGGACCAATAACAGCATCATCATCACCACCATCATCATCATCACCATCATCACTTCCATTAACATCATCACTGTTACCATCACCTCCACCATCACCATCATCACCACTTCCATTACATCATCACTGTTTCCATCACCTCCACCCACGGGATCAATAACATCATCATCGTCATGATCACTACTATTAACTTCATTACTGTTATCATCTCCACCATCTGTGGGACCACCCCCACCCCCATCATCATCATCACCACTACCATCACCACCACCATCACCATTACCACCATCACTCCTACCGTCTTCAGGAGCACCACCATCATCACCATCGCCCCATCACTATCACTTCCACCATCACCACGACCACTTCCATAACCACCACCATGTCACTTGTCACTGCCATCATCATTATCCTTCCATCACCACCACTACCACATCTATTACCATCCCCACTGCCACCACGTCCCTGAGCCATTCATAAGACCGTCAGCATCACCAGTCCAATTACGACTTCCACTGTCACCACTCCCACTCCCATGACTATCATTGTCCCCAGCCACTACCACCGGCAGCTGCTACCCGCAGCAGCACCACCATCACCACCATCGTCCGGCGGTCAGCGTTTGCCTCTGCTGGGCACCATGCTCACTGTGAGCGGCTGCCGCATCTCCACAGATGGCTTTTTCTTGTAACCCACGCTTTCCTACATTCAAATGTAAGTCATTCTAGTGTCTGGAAGGTGTCCTTGTTTTGTCTAGATTTGCTTCTACCCTCCTGGAAATTTACCCCATCATTCACTTCTGGGGAAGAAAGGAACTTTTTCTCTGATTAATATTTTTTAAATTGCATAATCAGAAAACAAATACTTTTTTTCAGTAAAAAAAGAAACACCCCTCAAACAATCGGACCACATGTGACGTCCACCTCAGCCCTACCCCCACCCTGAAGTTTCATCCCCTCTCTCATGGGGACTGGAGTGATTCTTGGGGGAGACATCCTCCGCTGGCATTTTGATAACTGGACACACATCATAGTTTAGAAACTGTTCTGTAAGAGACTTTTTCCTCTACGCAGTGTGTCTGGGGGATATTCTCTATTTGTACATGTCCCGGAAGAGCAGAACTCTGCACTACACTTTTACCATCTCTCGACAGGATTTCCAAAGTTTCCTCCAGCTTTTACACAAAAAGCTACAAACAGTATATTTTGAACACCCCTGAGTATGTCTGTGAATTCCCTGCAATCGCAGCCTAGCGTCAAATTGCTCTTGTGAGGATACACACACATTTACTACTTCCACACAAATGGCTACACCGCCTCTCAGAAAACACATTTCCCTCCTGCCAGCATTCCCGTTCCCTCGAGGGGCCCCTGCTTCCCGGAACCCCTGCCAAACCTGACTTCAGCGCCCTTGGCCAGTCTAAGAGGTAAAAAGAGCTTTTTTCTTGCCATTTTCTGGATAGCAGGGAGGGAAAGCAGAACACCTTCTCCTATAATAGCAGCCTTTTCTGTTTTCTCTTTTGCAAACTGTCAATTTACAGCCTCTCTCGCTTTTAAGAACTGAGTTGTTTTGACTCCATTATTTTTAGGAGGGTTTGGTTTTTTTAAAATCATCCTTAGTCTCTCATCTGTTTGAGAAGGTTCTCCCAGGACAGTGCTTGCACTTATCTTTTGCTCTGCTAAAGAAGCCCTGGTGATGTCATGCTTAAAGAATCCAGCTGCTAATCCAAAGGTCAATGGTTCAAACTTCCCCACTGTTCCATGAGTGAAAAATTAGACAATCTTCTTCCATAAGGATTTACAGCCTGGGATCCCCTCTGGGGCATTCTACCCCCTCCTTCAGGATCCTACAGGGTCCTACAGGGTCCTTTGGGGTGTCTGTGAGCTGGAAAGGACTTGATGATGGTAGCTTTGATGGGTTTACTTTGCTATGATGACATCTTCAATGAACAACTCGGCCACAGCCCACTGCACCCTATATGACCTGAGATGTAGGGTCCTCCTTTCACCTCATTATTCCTGGGCCAAGAGGCAGCATCAGGAAGAATTTAGGCACCTGTGTTTGCCTTCCTTTGATGAGAAACAATGAAGAAAAGCCCCGTTTTCTCTCCTTAGCTGACACTCAATAGGTTGGCTAGTGGGCCCACAATTTGAAGTCTTTATTCCTCAACATAAATTAAAAATAAAACAACAAACCAAAATAACCTAACTATCAAGTGTATTCCAGCTCATGGTGACCCTGTGGGTAGGGTGGAATCGCCCCAGAGGGCTTCGAGGACTCCTGCGACCTTCACCTTCAGCACACTGGTGGCTCTGAACCAACAACCTGTTGGTCAGCAACTAAATGCTCTTCAGCAGAAGTCAGACGAGGTAAGTATCCTCCCTGAGAACACAGGTACAGCACCCCACACACACTCTGTCCCTGGCCCAGTGTCACCCCCCCTGCTCCAACCCCTGGACCCTTTACCTGAGCACGTGTGCGAAGGCCAGGGGACAGCTGCTGGTCGAAGAGCCGCTGCAGAGACTCCAGAGAGGGAAGGGTCCGGGTGACCTCGCTGGGGACAAGGAAAGGACAAGAGTTATTGGGACCCCGTAGATGCTTCTCAGGCGGCAGGCTCACGCCTCTCCTGGACAGAACAGACACCCCTCCCTCAAGGACAAGCCCGGGCAAGAACCCAGGTCTCTTGTTGCCTCTGCCATGTCCCAAGCTCCCCATCCATGCAGAACCGGATCGCCCAGGGCCAGCTTGGTGTTCAGAAATCACTGAGCTTGAGGACATCTGGAATTCAAAGTCACAGACTGTTCCTGGAAATGACTGAGTCATCCCAAGGCCTCCAATCTATAGTGCTTCTAAGTGATCCCTCTGCCCCTTAAATTAAAGATGCAAATTCCTGGTTCTTTCCCAACCCCATCCCATAAGCCTGGCCGGCATTCCTGGTTCTGTCCCACCCCCCATGACCCCACAAACCTGGCCGGCATTCCTGGTTCTCTCCCACCCCCCACGACCCCACAAGCCTGGCTGGGATTCCTGGTTCAATCCCACCCCCCACCCCACAAGCCTGGCTGAGGTTGGTCTCGCATCTTCACATACTTCCTGGAGATGGTGGTCTGCAGATGTTGGGGCACATTTCCACCACAGACATGGCTGAGTACTCAGCTGTGAACCAAAACATGGGCAATTTGAACCCACAGCAGCTCCCAAGGAGAAAGACCTCCTAACCGGCTCTTGTAGACACGCACAGTGACGCTGCTGTTGTTAGGCGCTGTGAGTCCAGCACGACTCGGCAGCTGTGTGAACAGATCTGAGCCTCGCCCTGTCCTGTGCCAGCCCATCGGCTCGGACACGCTTTAGTCCCGTTACAGGAACTGTGTCAACCCAGTTCACTGAGGGTCTTTCATGCACCCTCCACCTTTCCAAGCACAGTGTCTCTTTCCAAGCAATTGTATTGTTGTTGTGTGCCATCGAGTCAGAACTGACTCCTAGCTGAGGCTCCAGCAGATTTTCAGAGGCAGTAAATCACACAGGAGACTGCCCATCCTCTGCGGAGCAGTTGGTGGATTTGAACTACATGCCTTTGAGATTGCGGAGCAGCTTTTTACCACTATGCCACCAGCCTCCCTTTTCAAGGGATGCTGTTGCTGTTAGGTGCCATTGAGTCGAGTATAACTCATAGCAACCCCATGAATGACAAACTTGAACCCTCCTATCTTGTCATTCACATAATCTCCAACACTCTCAAGCTCGTTGCTGCAGCCATTGTGTCGATGCACTTGGTTGAGGGTCGTCCTCTCCTTTGCCAACCCTCGAGCTTCCCAAGTGTGATGTTCCTCTCCAAGGAGCGAGCTCTCCTAGCAACATGTCCAGAGTACGTGAGACAAAGCTTCTCCATGCTTGCCTCCAAGAAGTATTCTGGCTGCACCTTCTCCAAGACGAACCTGTTTGTTCTTTTGGCCATCCATGGGACACTTAGTACTCTTCTCCAACACCATAACTCAAAGGCATTGGTTCTTCTTTTGCCGTCCTTAATCACTGTCCAGCTCTCAGATGCATAGCAAGTGACTGAAAAGACCATAATAGTCCGAATCAAGCACACTTTAGTCTTCAAATTGGCTTTATTCCTCCTCAGTACTTTGGAGAGGTCTCTGAATGCACACTTTCCATCTCTTGATCTCTTAACTGCCGGTACAAAGGGTGTTGATTGTGGATCCAAGTAAAATGAAGTTGTTGACAATTCCAATCTTTATCTATCATGATGTTGCCTATTGATGCAATAGTAAGCATTTTTTCTTCATGTTAAGATGTAATCTACATTGAAGACTGTAGTCTGTGATCTTCCACAGGAAGTGTTTCAAGCCCTTCTCACTTTGGCTAAGCAAGATTGTGTCATTTGCATAAATATTGCTTATTGATGAGTCTTCCTCAGATCCTGATGTCACGTTCTTCTTCATAGAGTCCAGCTTCTCGAATGTCTTCCTCAGCATACATACTGAATAGGTGTGGAGAAAGGATACAGCCCTGCTGCACACTTTTCTTGAATTTAAACTATACAGTGTTCCTTTGCTCTGTTCAGACAACAGCATCCTGGAGTAGGTATAGGTTTGATATGCACGTAATTAAGTGTCTTGAGAGTCCCATCTTTCTCAATGTTACCCATAGTTTATTGTGCTCCACACAGTCAAAAGCCTTTCCCCAGTCAATAAAACACAAACAGATATTCTTCTGGTATTCTCTGTTTCAGCATAATCCATCTGACATCAGCAATGATAGCCTTCTTAGTGATGCTACAAACAACAGAATGCAACCACATACAACAGAATAAAACCCTGCCCAGTCCTGTGCCAGCCTTGTGCTCTCTCCTGAGCTTAATATGCCAATCCATCTCATGAAGGGTCTTCTCACCTTCGCTGACCCTCTACCTTCCCAAGCATGATGTCCTTTGTTAAGAACTAGCCCTCCTGACAACATGTCTGAAGTATATGAGCCAAGGTCCCACTGTCCTTGTTTGTACAGGGCGCTCTGCTTGGACTTCATCCAAGGCAGGTTCGTCTGCCCTTCTGGAAGCCAGTGATCTTCACTAAGGAGTCTTGGTGGCATAACACACCATATGCACTTGGTAAGACATTACCAACAGTAAGGGTTGACCGGTTCACTGGTCACTCTTCGGGAGAAGGTTGCACAGTCTCTCCCATAATGACTTGGAGCCTCAGCAGCCCAACGGGGCATCAGGAGTCAGCCATGCGTTTTGGCTGGTTTGGTCTGTCTGCTTTGCCAACATCGTAATCCTCAGGTATCAAATCTTCTCTGGTCTTCCTTACTCATTGTCCAACTGGCATTTGCATGTGAAGCAAGTGAAATGACCACGTAGAGAACTCCATGCTGTCATTTGAGGTAGCCACCAACTCAACAGACACAACAACAGTCTTATCAGCTGGACTTTGGGCCCCTGACCTTCTCCCCTCAGTGGTGATGAGGAGTCTTTCTTCGCTTCTCATCTTCTCTGTTTTCCCCACATTCCTCGAAGCATGATGGGCCAACAATTTTCAGTCCCAATTTTCAATTATTATTTCATCAAAAACTGTTCATGTTTTCACATATTTAGCCTTCTGATGATTCCAAAATATTCTACCCAGTAAGTGAGCCAAGATCGATTGCTAGCTATTTGGGTGATCGGGAGAGCTGAGCTACTATAAACAAAGCTGCTCTTCACAGTGCTGTTGCTATAGCTTTTCCTCTTTATTCTCAACTGGAGTCTGCAGGGAACCAGATTCCAGATTCTGATAACCACTGCCAATCACGGAGGCCACCACTGGAAGCAGCTCATTTGGTGTGATACCCACAGTCTTTCTATTATTTTCTTGTCTTCTCCTCTTTAATGGGTATAATGTTGGATTTCAATATTCATGAATAGATTTGCATAATTAAAAGTTCTAACACCAAATGAGCCATAGTGGCAGCTGTTCAGCTAATTCAAGGTTGGTGGTTTAAACCCACCAGCCCAACATAGATGTGAGTGGGACAAGACGGAGCAATCAGCTGCTGTACCGACGGCAGGCAGAGACCCGAGCTCTCCTCTGCCACGTGGTGTCCCTGAGAGTCTAAGCTGTCTTGACGGTGCTTGACAATAGGAACTGGCCGGGCTGGAATCTGCACTTTTTTTTTTCACTTTTTAAGGTGTGCACTTTTATTCAACTGGTCTCATGTCAGTGTACAGGTAAAGCCCTGGCTGCCTCCACATCTCAGCCACCCCAGGGAGACCAAAAGCCTTCATATTTCTAGAGTTGAGGGAAAGGGCAAGGGCCCCAAAAAAGTAGGGCCACTAATGGCTGACTATTGAAAAACAAAAACTAAAGAACAAGTATTAAGGTGGAAGATTTAAAAAAAAAAACCTGGGTGAGGGATGGGGCTTTTCTGCTTAGGGGAAGGGAGAGGCTTCTGGAAAGGCAGGAGTTTCCTGTCACATCGCCATGTTGATTATTTGGAATGACTATTTAAAAAAAAAAGGAACAATGTACAATCAAAGTCCTGGGCCACATTGGAGAACTGGGAGGATTCTTGCTCCACACCAACTGCTGTCACCCTCACCGTTCCAGTTTTTAAATCCTGAGTCAAGCGCAAAAGAAAAAAAAATTTAAAAATTTAAAAAAGAAACAAAAAAGTAACAAATAAAGCCATGCCAATTCTCATCCTTTGTTTTTTTTTTTCTGCGCAAGTTTGGTTTTTTTATCAAGAAAGGGTGTAACGCAACTAAACAGTCCGCCTAGAAGCATTTGCGGTGGACGCTGGAGGGGCCAAGACTCGTCGTACTCCTGCTTGCTGATGCACATCTGCTGGAAGGTGGACAGGGAGGCCAGGATGGAGCCGCCGATCCACACGGAGTATTTGCGCTCAGGGCGAGCGATGATCTTGATCTTCATCGTGCTGGGGGCCAGCGCTGTGATCTCCTTCTGCATCCTGTCGGCGATGCCTGTGTACACGGTGGTCCCGCCAGACAGCACTGTGTTGGCGTAGAGGTCCTTGCGGATGTCAACATCACACTTCATGATGGAGTTGAAGGTAGTTTCATGGATGCCACAAGACTCCGTGCCGAGGAAGGAGGGCTGGAAGAGTGCCTCGGGGCAGCGGAAACGCTCATTGCAGATGGTGATGACCTGCCCATCGGGCAGCTCGTAGCTCTTCTCCAAGGAGGAAGAGGAAGCCGCCGTGGCCATCTCCTGCTCGAAGTCCAGGGCAACGTAACAGAGTTTCTCCTTGATGTCACGCACAATTTCCCGCTCAGCCGTGGTGGTGAAGCTGTAGCCTCGCTCGGTGAGGATCTTCATGAGGTAGTCCGTCAGGTCCCGGCCAGCCAGGTCCAGACGCAGGATGGCATGGGGGAGGGCGTACCCCTCATAGATGGGCACAGTGTGGGTGACCCCATCGCCGGAATCCATCACAATGCCAGTGGTTCGGCCAGAGGCATACAGGGACAGCACGGCCTGGATGGCGACGTCCATGGCAGGGGTGTTGAAGGTCTCGAACATGATCTGGGTCATCTTCTCCCGGTTAGCCTTGGGG